GTAATTGCTATAGTCAATGTGGGGCTCAAACTTACAACCCTGAGGTCAATAGTCTCATGCTCCACCAACAAAGCCAGCCAGGAACCCCAACAATTGGATATTTTAGATAACACAGCATAACAACTCTAGATACTGATCCCATCTCCCAGAGTAGTTGATACTGTTGTTGTTTGCTTGGTTGTTTATTTAGTGACTTGGCTGAACTGACTCCATGAAATCTATTTCCTCTGCAGTATGCAGCCTCTGATGTTCCTGTTCAGATTTCTTCTTGGTTTTTACCTTTTACCTGACAACCTAAGAGTCACCCTTGGGTCAACATAGGCCCCTTTACTGGTCAAAGATTATGCTTAAGCCCTCTTATCCAGTTAGATTTTTAGCTTTTACTATTTCATGTATGGTACCATTGGCTTGGAGGCTGCTATCACAGTTCAAGGAATCTGTTTCTACCCCACATTCAGCCAGATAGTAGCAGCTTGGATTTTCCCTTTCTAATCACCTTTGAGAGGACACAACTTTGAGCATGCACACAGTCTTCCAGTCTACCAGGAAAAGTGTGATTTATTTTTAAGCCTGGTTTCCTAGGAATTGCCCATGGGTCAGAAAAGCTTACTGTTCAGCCAGTGGTTATAGGTTGTGCTTAAGCCCTTAGTGCCAGTGAGAGCCCTGTCCTTTGTTGTTTGATCTGTGTGAGGCTTGAGGGCTGCTTTAAAGTCCACCTTATGTCCTAGTTTGATTGCTCTAGAGTAAATGCAGCCTTATGCTTATGCACAGCCTTCCTAATCCTAGGGCTATGATCCCAGAAGAGGTCTTCTTGACTTTTTTCTTGGTTTTCTCTGTTATCAAACTTCTGACTGCTCAGTCATCTTTCTTGTTGTAACTTGTATCATGGAGCTATGAGTGTCCTCTTAATTAATGCTCACCAAGATTTCCATTTTTTTTAAATTTTAGAGAAAGAAAGACAGCATGAGTAGGACAGGGAAGGGGAGGGGGACAGAAGGGGAGAGAGATAATCTTAAAACAGGCTCCACATTTAGGGCGGAGCCTGACATGCATGCGGCTCAATCCCATCACCCTGGGATGATGACCTGAACGGTAATCAAGAGTTGGCTGCTCAACCGACTTAGCCACCCAGGCGCCCCTCCATTATTTTTGACAATGCTTTTATGAATGGAGTTCTCCATGATCTGTTCCACATAAAGTCAGCTCCTTTGGTCAGAACTAAGGAGTTCTTCATCTTTAAGGCCTCTCCCTAAGCAGAGCCTCAGTGCCATTGTGCACAAGTGGCATAAAGAAAAGAAAATTTTCTTTATGAATGGGTGCTGGGTGATGTTTTTTGGCTTGCTTCTTCAGGCATGAACCTCTGCCCTATAAGCAAGCTGGGTGTAGAGCAATAGGAGTCCAGTATTGTCAACATACTATCTCTACATGCTACGTGAATGCTTCCCCTGAGTGGGGACTACATAGAAGAGAGACCTATTCCTTTTGAGTCTGTCTGGAATAGAGCTTCTGCATGACAGAACTGGGGGAGATGAGAAATATCAGAGGCCTATTCCTCCCAGGTGAAACCATAGCTCTAGACTGGGAGCTAGGGAAAGAACTTCTGGATCATACCCACCTGCATTAGAGCTCCCTGAGAAGTTTTTGTAAAATATAGCTCGGAAGGGGGTGAGTGAGAACAAGCTAAATGTTGAAGACTGTTGCTGTTGTATCTGAGATTTCATAGATTTTCTTGATTGAATATTTCTGTATGCCTCTAGGACCATTTCTAGGAACTCCAAATGATTGTTTTTGCTGTTTAATAATATTTTCCAGTTAAATTGTTATTTGTTCATGAAAGAGTCCATCACACTCCTCATTTCTCCAGTCTGGAAGTTGCTCTCAAAGATCATCTTTTAAAATATTAATACTAGCTGCTGAATCAACCTTACTCATTTATAAAACTGGTCTTCTAGTTCTACCTGTATTTGTTGTTTCAAAAATTCCTTTAAACATATTAGAATGTCTTTCTTCCTCTCCTTCAGCTATTGCAGTGTCATTTGGATGGTATTTTTTGTTATCCTTTCAAAACATGAATTATAATTAGCCTTTGACATATAGTTTATTCAAAGGGTCTCTAAATAGCTAAATGAATTACAGCCGCTGATTTTCTCCTTTGTCCATATGCTAATGGATACTTTAGACCTTAAGTTTGTATCACACCTAATGAAAAGTAGCATATATTGGAGATCCTTACATATATAACTTTACCATAAGTTCCTTCATTTTTCATTCCATTACTGCCTTAGAACATTGCCTTTCAGGGGCGCCTGAGTGGCTCAGTCAGTTGAGTGTCTGCCTCTTGATCTTGGCTCAGGTCATGGTCTCACAGTTCATGAGATTGAGCCCTGCGTTGGGCTCTGTGTTGATAGTGTGGAATCTGCTTGGGATTGTCTCTCTCTGTCCCTCCCTCTCTCTCTTTCTCTCTCAAAAATAGATAAATAAACTAAAAAAAGAACACCACCCTTCATTCAGCAAGCACTCAAATATATGCAGAATGAATAAAGAAAAAAGGACTATTTCCTTTAACAAAAATATGCTAAACGATTATGCCTGCTTACATACTGGCTGAACCTATTCTTTACTGCAAGTCCTCCCATCCCCTTGCTGGTTTGTGAAAACTCACAAAGTTATTTCCAATGACACCTTTGGAGCCCTGTACTCCACTAGAACTTTAAAAAACTCTGTAGGATACTGTGGGCTTTATTTTATCTAGAGTTGGAGAGCTGTACTGCACGACCCAAGGAGCCTTATTAGCTTTAGGTTTTGATAATAACAGGGACCTTTGTAACTCCTGAATAAACCTATTATTTCAAACACTGTTTTACCAAGAAAACCCTGTAAATTTTACTAAACTCTTGTGTACCTTCATTTTTCCCTATAAAAAGGCAGACTCTTTGCAATCAATCTGAATCCCTTTATACGTGTAGCTTAAAATGACAAAATCATCTTACCGACCTTACATAAAACATAACGTTAGCAGCATCAATTATCACGTATCTCTTTCCCTTGAAAGAATATTATTGTCAAATTGAAATTACACATGATTGAAGTACTTTACCTATCCTCTATAGCCAAAACCCAAATCTAGAGATAGCAGCTCCATAAACAACTCATACGGAAATCCCATTAAAGGATGATGAAGTATGCCACCCAATGGATGTACTGCCATACTGCACTCATAAAATACACACACACACACACACACACACATATATATATATATCACATATATATATATATATATATATATATATATATATATCAGCATTTGCAATCTCCTTCAGATTACCAGAAACCACTCTAGAGTAACAAAACAAACACTGAAGCAAAAGGAAAAGTTGTCACAGAAGGGAAAGAATAGCCTGCAAGGGCAATGAAACATTGATACGGCAGTGGCAATTTGGTAAAAGGCGAAAGATTTATACGATCTGAAGAGAAACCAGAGTATGGCAGTGGCAATTTGGGTGCGTGACCATCTCAGGGAAATCAAAGTAGAGAGATAACAATGTGCTTTGAAAACACACAACACTTTACTGTCTATCCCTCCCAATATACAATGGGAGTTGGAAAACAATGGATAGGAACAGAGTTGAATTAGACTCAAGGCCCTGAGACTGAATGGATCATATTTTGTGGCACAGTTCAATCTTAGAAATTGCTCCTTCAGTATCACTCAGATTTAACATTAGTTACTGAGTACCTATTATCTTCTAAGGCACTGTTCTAGATGATTTCATACAGATTCTCATTTAATTCCTTTAGCGTTGTGTTAGTTTTACTCCTAATAGCTTACTTCCTCTTGAGACTTTCTGCTCATGTTCAGGGGTGGGGGATGGAAGGGGGGTCACACGATTCTTCCATTATCTATGGGGCTTAATTGTGAAGAATCACGAATAGGGGACTTGCACACATGCAGAGATGTCTATCTAGATGAGAAGCTGAAGAGACCCACCTAAGAAAACAACCCTTTATATAATCATCACATTACTGATGACTGCAGAAGTTTCTACTTTTAAATTTTTTTTTTTCAACGTTTATTTATTTTTGGGACAGAGAGAGAGCATGAACGGGGGAGGGGCAGAGAGAGAGGGAGACACAGAATCGGAAACAGGCTCCAGGCTCTGAGCCATCCGCCCAGAGCCTGACGCGGGGCTCGAACTCACGGACCGCGAGATCGTGACCTGGCTGAAGTCGGACGCTTAACCGACTGAGCCACCCAGGCGCCCCCAGAAGTTTCTACTTTTAGAGAGCAACTCTGTTATCTGCCTTATGGTTTGGCCCTGCCAGAAGTGAGAAGCATAGTAGAGAGGAGAAGGCAAGTCATAATTAGGAGCCCTGAGTTCCAGTCTCATGGTAGTAGAGGGGCAGTTGTATCTTTCAGCACTTCAAACACTCCTATTATTTAAGAAAAAGGAAAGGTATGCTTCTTCCTGTTATAAAGATGAACAAAATCGTACTGAGGAGGTGCTAGAAGATGGACATGGGAAGACCCTGACTAAACTCATACCAATACTGACACAAACTTCTAATCGTTATTATTTATATGTGACCGACATGTTAGGCCTACGGGGCCCTACAGGACTAAATGTAAGGAGAGAAGTAATGCTTATCTAGGTACCACTCCCTTATATCTGGATTGCATATTATGCTTTTCAAAGAGTTTTTACGCCTGTTATTTCACTCACATAGTTCCCAACATAATGTGAAGACATAATACATAAATGAGTATTTGTCAGATGACTAGCTCAAAAGAGACAGACAGACTTGACATAGCAGGTGTAATGTCAAAAAAATTGGAAGTACATGCAACACACAAGTCTATCAGCTCCAAATGGTATTTCTCCATCTGAGTTCCATGCTAGGCCTTAGGAGAAACATACACATAAACACAATAACCATACCTACTTTACAGGAAAATGGACCTGAGGTTTACTATTGAAGAGAGACTATGTTTTACCCACCTGGAAAATTGAAAAATACTGGAATCCAGAGGCTTAAGCTGAAGAGAAGGTGTCCTGCTTTCTTCTCCAACAGATGGAGGCCGGCTAGGACTATCAATTCCCTCATATCCAATTGTCTTATTGTTCAATTCTTCCATATCTTGAATAGCAGGAATCCTCAGTGGATTAGTGAACACCTAGCAAAGAGAGAAATGATTCATAAAAATCCTAATTTCAAATGAAATACCAAAGGATGAGTCAATCCTTCTGATGCTTGGAGAAAACACTTGGCCAAATAAAAAGAAACTGGTTTCTTACACAAAACAAACAGCACATGGTAATGTACACTAGAACACTGAACCCAGTTCAGTTATAACCTTATCAGCTGGACAGACCTCCCCAACTCACTTATTAGCTCCTACAATCATCCCACCCACAACATAAAACCCAGGCCCCCTAATCACCACCTAATTCTCTCCTGTGACCCAGTTTTAAGGCTGGGTTTTCACTCCTCTGAAATCTGTGATGCTGGCAGGGGTGGAAGGAATAAGCATTGCAGCGAGTGTCAGTGCTGGTTTTGGAGAAATGCATGCGAGAGACTAATGTATATCCACAATGCACACACACAGAGACATGCATCTAAGATCTTGTGGAAGAGCCAGCTTATGAAGACAGTACAGATGATGAAGGTGGAGGGATGTAATGGGAAGGCAAACTGAATGAGGACAGGGCGGTCCCAGGAAATCTCCCAATCTCCAGATCAGACTACTAAGCCAAGACATTAGGGTCTGAAACCTGTGTATTCATATACCCGGGTTTCGGTAGGATGTCAGAAGAAGAATAAATTGCCTCTATCCTCACCAGTCTGACCTACCCTGATTGAGTGGGTAGAAGGTGAATCTAACATGCGACTAGCAGATATCTCTGGGAAAGAGGGTCAAGAGGACAATCATGCAGAAAGGCAAGGTTGGGTGGGGAAGATACATGGGTGCTATGGTGGCTGTCAGGAAAGGAGTGTCCCTGAGAGGACGGCCAACCTTATTGCACCCTTCAGCGTCCGGAGCTGGGCAACCATGTCCGAGAGACAGTGCTCCTGAAAATTCAAAACAGCAGAGTCTTTATAAAGCCAGCCAGCCTGAAAGCGGGGAGAGGGCAGGGGCACAAAGAACCAACCCTTCTTCCCAAGAGGAAGGAGGAAGGAATCACCCCTGAATCCTGGAAGAAAGGAGATTGAGGAAAAAACTGACACTCAACAGGAGCAGCCTGTATGAGAATGGAATGCAACCCTGAATATTCTGTGACATTGAAAGTGATATTCACACTGTCCAGAATCAGTATGTAATCCCAATCTGGGAAATATATGATTTGGCTCTTCTATTTTTGGCGATCTGAACATCAGTAACAGGAGATCAAAGCAAAATCAAAAGATTCAACAGAAAAAAAGACCACCAGGAGAAATGTTTCATGATTTTTATGCAGCTTTCAAGATTGTTGCTTCCTTCCACCTATGTCCTCTGTTGGGGAAAATTTCATGTGAGAAAAAAAAGACGATGGGCTGTCTCTCACCTGGTGGTTCTCACTGTCCACTGGCAGCTTCTTCTTCTCAAGAGCTTGATCTCTAGGAGAAGATAAAAGTGCTATTTAGTTCATTCATGAAATTTCTCCATCTGAAATGGATTACCAATTGCAGATTTAGGTTATATATAATGTTCCTACCAATTTAAAAATAGTGTGGGCCTCACTGAATAACTGAGGGTGCCTTCCTAAACTCTGCTACTTAAGAGAGAGTTCAAATGTCCCATCAAATGAGAGACAGGGAGGGGAAGGTGAGAGACTAAAGACAATCACTAATTAGACACTCAGGTGATGATCAGCAGGAATAAAGAACTGGTAGAATAGAGAAGTGAGAGGGAAATAGTTAAAAATCAAAAAAGAAAAAAAAAATCTCTCTTCTCAAAGGTCCCCTGTCCTATTAGAGTCAGGCCCTCTACCTTATGATCTAGAACCTTAAGTATACTCAACTGTTTCTTGGCTTTGTTCAAGTACAGGTCTTCATCGCTGAGTTCTTGCTCCTCTGGAACAGAGCATCTCCTGCAGTACAGAGAAGAAATCATCTTTTGGAAACAAAATGTGCTTTTCAGTTTTACCCTTTACTTTCCTTACAACTATGACAAGATAGGTCATTGAGGTTAACAACCCTCTAACCTCACAGAGTTCAGATTCCACCCACATCACAAAACCTGTATGCAGGTTAACATGTAGCAATTCTTATTTCAAGGCATCATCTAATTCTTTTGGTGCATATATCACCTTTCTCCCATGACATTCAAAGTATATGACAGCTACAAAGTTCCTATTATGGTGGACAGCAAGAAGCATAATCTTTATTTTTACACAGTGAGTTTCAAGAGAGACCTTTTTGAGGTTCCATACAGAGATTATTGTTAACAGTAGAACCTGGGTCTTTTGCCTCTTGTTTACTAAGAAAGTAATTCCCAAAGTGCAGTTTAGAAGCACAAGAATCCCTAAACTAGGTGATGATGCCTGAAGAAAATCAAAGGCTATGAGAGAGAGAAACAATAAGGGATTAGGAGCTTACACTGCAAAAACCACACAACAGATTAGCAAAGAGGAGAGAAAGGAGGAGTCTATAAATTGAAAGACATCTGTTATATGTAAAGCACAAGGAAGAGAATTTTAGGAGTTAACACTAAAAGGAGTACTAGAAAGTGTATTCAAAGATCAAAAGCAGTCCTAGGAACAAATAAGCAAAAATTAGTAATAGTTGGAAACCCTCTATTAAAACTATTTTATTTTAAAGTTTATTTATTTATCTTGAGAGAGAGAGAATTCCAAAAAGGTTCCACACTATCAGCACATAGCCCGATGTGGGGTTTGACCCCATGAACCATGAAATCATGACCTGAACTGAAATCAAGAGTCAGACACTTAACCAACTGAATCACTCAGGTGCCTATTACACCCATTTTATAAGGAGGCAGTGTCCTGGAAGGGTATGTCTCTCAGATTGAGTAGAAACTGACAGGAGATACAGGATTAAAAAATGAGACTCCTAAGCACTCAGTCCCATATTCCAATCACACAATCCGTTATTCTCCAGGAAGAGGTGCTTAGGCACATCTGGAGACTATGGGGGAATGCTTACTCATTACAGACCTAGACCTCACTTACTGAATTTCCTCCATTTTAAACATTTTTTTTTCTAAAAAGCATACCCTGTTTTAGTGCCTTTTTTTCTACTGCTATTGTGCAGAAAAAATATTAAGAAAATCACAGCTAATTGAAGCAAACAGGATAATTATTTTGAGTCTCTGTGATTACTGAGTCAAATAAATATTTGTTAAATTGAAATAAATGTTCGTGGGTATGCCAGGCACTATCTAGATGTTAGATGCTGCAAGGGACATGCAAACAAATGGCATTAAATGTACAATATGTACTATAATAGATTCAGGCATAGGAAGCATATGAGTGAAATCATCAACTAAACGTGAAATGTAAAGCCCTTGTTCTTGAATAGTTTACAATCTTTTGAAGAGCCAAAGCATATACATATGAAAAGCATCTAAAAAAATACAAAACAGTATGCAAACAAATGTCAAGAATTAAATACCATGGGAAGCTAGCATAAAATCACTGTAAACTATTGTCAACAGGAGAAGTATCACACAAAATACTTAAGCTTCCCAGATGGATATGATTTGGATAGGCAGATGGAATGCAGAACGTCACTGTAAGCAAGCAGAATAACACTATCAAGTCATGGGAGAGGAAATAAGCATGGCATGTGTTGGAAATACTGAAGCCAGAAGCCTGGCTAAAGCATATGATTTGGGTTAAAAATAAGGTTGGATAGATAGGGTGGGATCAGTTAGCAAGAGGCTTGGATGCCAGGCTGAAGAGTATGGACTTGAGATAAAAAGTGTTTTAGTGGGCAAAGTGAGTGAAAGGGAGTGGGAGTCCAGTTATGGAATGAGTAAGTCACGGGAAAAAGAGGTAGAGCATGGGCAATACAGTCAGTGGTAGTGTAATAGTGCCATACGGTGACAGATGGTAGCCACACTTGTGAGCACAGTATAACATACAGAGTTACTGAGTCACTATGCTCATGCCATACATGAGCAACCAATGTAACATTACATGTCAACCATACTCAAAAGAGCTTTTTAAAAGTGTTTTAGAACAGAGAGACAAATCAGGCATTTTCTCTGGCATAATAACCTTACCTGTACTTTGGATGGGAATTATAGTAACAGAACCATCTTGCAGGTAATGTAGATGGATCAACCTTGCCAGGAAGCTTCCTCCATTTAAGACACTCATCACACTGTACCCATGTCTGGTCGGGAATCTTCCTGAATGAAGGAAAACAGAAGTATGACTGTGTATATCCTAGCTCTGTGCTCTTATGTTAGAAAGGCACACCCTAAAAGGGAAAGAGTAAAATTTTATATATGAATTGTGTTAGAACTGTAATGCTATGTTCTAAGTGTTTAAAACACACATCTTGAACTTCACAAAGAAAATAATAATAGAATTATACCAAACATGGATAAGAAAAATAGTAACAAGTCTTAACATGGTAAGCTACCATTATTTATGGAACTAAATAATATTTTCCAGTATCTCTTGTTCTAAGCAAACAAGAGGATCATTTTAACTCTAAAAATTAACAAGGAAGAATATATATTACAATATTACCAAGAAATAAAACCCATAGAATCATTGTATTTGCTTCTATCCAACTGTGAAACAAGTTTAAAATGCATTTGTGGGGGTTATGGAAGCATCATCATCAAAAAGTCTTCCCCATTTCCCCGCAGACTCCCTAGTCCTCTCTTTTTGTCCATTTAAAAGTCTTTGTTTACACTTCAACCAAAATTTTATTAGGTTGGTATCCTCAACATTAATCTTAAAAACTCCTATAAATGTGATTAAATCTCATAACTAGAAAGGGTGGCTTCAGTCTAACAACTGAGTGAAATTAAGGCAAAATCCTTCTAGAGGTCTATGCTTAAGATACAAAGCCACTCAAATCCCTGCCAGGAAGCATAACCCAGTCACCTACACCTTAGAGCAAATGTGTTTCTCTATGAAAGGAGGTGGTCCATATAGAACAGAAGTAGTCAGCAACTAAGGTGTGAAAAGCAGACTGGAGGGAGAAGGCTGGAGAAAAGAAACAGAAAGAGGGCATAGGGGTACCAAGGGTCAGTCTGAGAAACATGTAATTTAGCTTAGAGCATGATGTGCTTATGTCACATTTATACTGCTCTTACCAGTACCCATTTTCAATAGTGATAAGAGTTCTTTTATGTCTTAGTTTGTATCTTTTTCTTTAGTCTTTATTTTGTTTAAATAATGCTTTTTTTCTTTTTTAAAAAAAATTTTTTTAATGTTTTTTATTTATTTTTGAGACAGAGAGAGACAGAGCATGAACGGGGGAGGGGCAGAGAGAGAGAGAGGGAGCCACAGAATCAGAAGCAGGCTCCAGGCTCTGAGCCATCAGCCCAGAGCCTGACGCGGGGCTCGAACTCACGGACCTCGAGATCGTGACCTGAGCCGAAGTCGGACGCTTAACCGACTGAGCCACCCAGGCGCCCGCTTTTTTTCTTTATAAGTAATATAAGCTCATTACAGAAAAACTGGAAAACACAGGAAGATATGAAAAAGAAAATAAAAGGCATGCATATTTCTACCACTCAAACACAGTGTCCTCTTCTTGTTTAAAAGTCTGCTTTAACATGGAAAATTCGTGTTTTTGGATATATGGATTCCTTATCTCCTAGCTCCAGGCTGCTCTAGCCTTGAAACGTCCAAGCTCTAAGCTCAGGCCTGACCTCTGGTGTCTATTTATTTCCATACAGCTACTGCTTAATTTAGAGCCAGAGACAGCAAAGGGCAGTTTCAGCAGCAGTGGGAGGGAAGAGGAAAGGTCATGTTGGCTTTGGTTTGGCATGTGGATGCACAGAAGAGTTGCATGCAGAAGCATGCCAATGTGACTGCCTTGGAAAGAAGCATTAGAGACAGCAAATCCTTGCCTTAGGCTATATCAGACTATGGAGGATCCTTCTAACCAGGCAGATAGGAGAGGCATTTAGCTGTGACTGCAATAAATAGGTAGTTGAAGGGGCTGTACCATCCATACTCCCCTACTGCATCCTTCCAGAAGAGCGTCATGGCTAAGCACTTGGGCTTGGGGGTCTGACTGCCTATATTTGAACTTCGTATCTACCACTTTCTACTTGTTTTATCTTGAGCAAGTTACTTAAGCTCTCAGTATATCAGTGTCAGTAAAAAGGTAAAAATACCATCTGTCTATCCCACAGGGTTGTTGTTAACGATTCAATAAATCTAAATACATGTAAAAAACTTAGACCAGTTGACTGGCATGTAAGTACTCAATAAATAATAATTATTACAATTCTGCCTCCAGAAAGGTTGAATAACATATACACACACTCTCTAGCAATATATGAACATCTGTTTAATGGCATTTATCACTGCTTATTTGAAAGGCAAAAAAATGGCATCTTGTCCTAGCTGGCATTTCTTTGAAAACCACACAGGTTATACATGAGCAGAGATCTTTAGAGTGATATTCACACAACAGTCATGTTGCACCGAAACAAAATTTTGTATCATACATTTGCCTGATAACTTCCATTAAAAAAAAAGTGCATGGATGTCAACCCCAAAATCTTTTAACACTCTAATCCTTGTCATGATAGGGGTGTAACTGATTATATATGTGTTGGTATGTATTCTATCCTCTGTTTTACCCTTTCCTGGTTACTGAGGCATGTCATCCTGATCCACACTTCTGTATGTAATTCGCCATCCTAGACTCAATAAATTCTACTTTTTTCCTGATATGCTGGGTTCTCTACTTCAACCCTCAAATGCCTTGGTACAGGTCCAACAATGTTCACTAAGAATAAAGAGAAGGGAAGTTTGCTAACATTTCTGAACACCTACTATATGCCAGGCACTATGCTACAAATGTTATGCTCATTTCATATTCTTACAGAGGTGAAGTAACGTACTTACCCAAGCTCACCCAAACTATTAAGCAGATCCAGAGTTTCAACCCAGGAGTGTCTCATTTAAATGGTCATCATCTTCCACTATATCACACTGCCTGTAGGATAAACTGACAGTACTAAACTCTGCATATTTATGACCCAAGCCACACAAGTGTTAAACCAGAATGAAGAGGTCTACAGAATGATGAAATCAGTACCTGTTATTTCCTATTTTTAGTTAATTAAACTTCCTATGTGAAAGCACCATCTTACCCTTGTTCCTTCCATTTGCTCTATGGACATTAACCCCTGACATTTCTATATTCTACATTTACTACTCACGGTATTGGCCTGGCTATGGCTGAGGTCTCAAAATTCTCTTGGGAGGTCTTTTCCTTCCAATAAGCATTGAGCTTCTGGGCAAGGGCATTTATTGTCAACCTGAAAGAAGAAGGAAGAAGAAGCATATCAATGCTGAGGATCTGTTGAACAATTTTATGATCTCTGAGATGCTCCCATTTAATAGAGGCCACCAATGTAGAATATTCAGCCTAAGTTTGAACATCTACACTTTCAGGAACCAGGATGGGAATCTACTGCCTTTGCAAATTACATGTCAAAATGACGAAGTCATACTGTTGACTAGTCGCTTTGGTTGAAAAGGTAAAATGGTCACAAGTCCTAAGAAATACTGTGTTCTTTAAATTTTCAGGTCTTTTTGGGGCACCTGGGTGGCGCAGTCGGTTAAGTGTCCGACTTCAGCCAGGTCACGATCTCGCGGTCCGTGAGTTCGAGCCCCGCGTCAGGCTTTGGGCTGATGGCTCAGAGCCTGGAGCCTGTTTCCAATTCTGTGTCTCCCTCTCTCTCTGCCCCTCCCCCATTCATGCTCTGTCTCTCTCTGTCCCAAAAATAAATAAACGTTGAAAATAAAAAAAATAAAAAATAAATAAATAAATAAATTTTCAGGTCTTTTAGAATCACGAAGTGGGAGAGATGACATTCTAGACAATGAGAGAAGACTAAATTGCAGAGCTAGGACAGAACCAAATACTGGTAAGATTAAGGGGGAGCTGCTCAGACTGTCAGATGACTACAGGTAAACAATTCAGGACCAAACTGAAAGTCAGGGATCAAATGCTGTACCCTATGTATTAGAAATCAATCAAATACTAACATAAAAATGTCTACACAGTTCTTCATTCAAATGTTGATCACAGAAGTTACAGCACCAATGGACAACAAAGTCCCCTACAACCTTCCACTACATATCCGTTAGTGGAGGCTGGACCCCAGCTCTGGCTCTTGCTCAGTCTCCTTTATTTCTCTTTCCAAATGAACAACAGTAAACATAGGGTCAAACAATGTAAGGTGTAGAAGACAAAACCTGAATTTTACTTTTTTTTAAACTTCACTTTTAAAAACTGTCAATTCGAGTGACCAATTCCTATTTAATTCTAGAACCTAGGATTACAATTTTTTAAATAAAAAAATTTAATGTTTATTTATTTTTGAGAGAGAGAGAGAGAGAGAGAGAGAGAGAGCACTCACAAGCAGGGGAGGGGCAGAGAGAGGAGACACAGAATCCAAAGCAGGATCCAGGCTCTCAGCTGTCAGCATAGAGCCCGATGCAGAGCTTGAACCCATGAACCAAGAGATCACGACCTGAGCCAAAGTTGGATGCTTAACCGACTGAGCCACCCAGGCACCCCTTGAACCTAGGATCACAATAATGTTGAGTTGTACACACCTGGTATACTACAAATTTATGATTTAAAAAAAAAATCTTTGGACTTCTTGGATCACTGCCCAAGGGTTTTGTAGGCCTCATCTCTCCTTAAAAGGAATTCTTCCTTACCTCCACCTTACTAATATTAAATTAGATTCTGACTACACAGAAAAGAATAAAGTCATTATATGTGAGCCCTTCCACAAACACTTACTCTACTCCAACCTACTAACGTTCATATTTTTATGATTATATCTTTCCTTCAAGTCACGGATGAAGAACGGTTTCTTGTCTTCTCTTTAAATTCTATTTTAAAAATATTTTTAATTTTTTTAAAGTTTATTTATTATTGAGAGACAGAGAGAAAGAGAGCATGAGCAAGGGAAGGGCAGAGAGAGGGGGAGACACAAACTCTGAAGGAAGCTCCAGGCTCTCAGCTGTCAGCACAGAGCCTGACACGGGGCTCAAACTCGCAAACCGCGAGATCATGACCTGAGCCGAAGTCAGATGCTTAACAGACTGAGCCACCCAGGGGCCCCCTATTTTAAAACTATTTTTAAAAGAAGTAGATTAGATGGGATTCTGGAGAAGGCTTGAGTGGTAAACTGACACATTTCAGCTCTTAGAAAGGCAGCAACTACCCATCTCCCATCCACGCACAGCCCCCATGGCAGGCAGCTGTGCACATACTTTAAGAGCAGCTTGTAGGGGCCAGTGTGGGCAAAATAAGCCTGCCTCCAAATACAAGCTATCTGTACTCTGACTGCTGTTTGCTGCTCCTGATCACAGGATCATGTCATCCCATGGTAGCCACAAAGAAAACAGCTAGAGAATATACGCAAAAAGAAATTAGGAATAGATCTTTCACTATAAAAAATCAACTGAACACAAAAGAAGACAGTAATAGAGGAAATGAGGGACAAAAAAAATCTTAGAAGCCATACAGAAAACGGAGCAAAATGACAGAAGTCCCTTCTTATCAGTAAGTGCTTTAAATGTAAACGGTTTAAACTCTCCAGTCAAAAAACAGATTGGTATAATGGGTAAAAACAAAACAAAACAAAACAAAACAAAACAAAACCACATGATTTAAATATATACTGACTACAGGAAATGAACTTTAGATAAAAAAAAAAAGACACAAATAGGGGGCACCTGGGTGGCTCAGTCAGTTAAGTGTCAGACTTCAGCTCAGGTCATGATCTCATGGTTTGTGGGTTTGAGCCCTGCATTGGGCTCTATGTTGACAGTGCGGAGCTTACTTGGGATTCTCTCTGTCCCTCCTGCACTCTCTTTCTCTCTCTCAAAATAACTAAATAAAAACTTGAAAAAAAGACACAAATAGTTTGAAAGTGAAAGGATAGGAAAGGCTATTGGTAAATAGTAACTAAAAGAGATAAATGGTGTCTATACTAATATCAGACCAAATAAACTATGAATCACAAAAGCTAGAATGTGGAAGCAGCCCAAGTGTCTGTTGATGGACCAATGGATAAGCGAGATGTACTGTGCATGTGTGTGTGTGTGTGTGTGTGTGTGTGTGTGATTATTATTCTGCCTTAAAGAAGGAAGGAAATTTTGACACAGGCTACAACATGGATGAAGCCCAAAGACATTATGCTAAGTGAAAATAAGCCAGTCACAAAAAGACAAATTACTATACGATTTCACTTACATGAGGTACTTCAAGTAGTCAAAATCGTAGAGACAGAAAGTAGAATGGTGGCTGCCAAGGGCTGGGGAAGTGGGAATGGGGAATTATGGTTTAATAGGTATAGAATTTCAGTTCCGCAAGATGAAAAGAGTTCTGGGGATGAATGGTGGCGATGGTTGCATAACAGTATGAATATATTTAATGCCACTTAACTATACACTTAAAAATGGCTAGGATGGTAAATTTTATTTTACCACAATATTTTACCACAATAAAAAGAAAATTGGGGAAAAAGGGAAGTAGATTGTGTGGTTCCCAGGGGTTGGAGAAGGGGAAGTGTGGAGTGGCTGCTAGTGGACAAGTGGTTGCTTTTTGGGGTGGTGGAAAAGTTTTGGAGTTAGGTAAAGGTGATAGTTGAACGATTTGTGAATATACTAAAACCCTCTGTAGTGTACACTTAAAAACAGTGACATTAATGGTATGTGCATTGTATCTTCACTAAAAAGAAAACTAAAGCTCTGTTCTCATGTATTCAGGTAAAATTTACAGAGTGAAATGCATCTTTTTAAGTGTGTTGTTCTATCAGTTTTAACAAAGGTATACAGTCATGTAACCACCACCTTAACGAAGATACTGTTATTATGGATTCTCAAATTCCAGTTCTTCTCAAAAAACCCTGGCTTGACTTCACTGTTCTATTAATCTCCTTCCACTTCCCCAATCCTGGTGTATGTAACTAGACACTATCTCCTCTTCATTCTCTTGTCTTAACCCCCTATAGGCTACTTTCTACCATCACCACTCCATGAAACTATTCCTTTTCCCAACATCATTAATTCTATCAATGACCCTGCCAATATCCCAGTGTACTACATTTGAGACTTTGCAGTGATCTTTGATTCTTCCCTCTCCTTTATATGCCTTATCTGTCACCAAAATCTTTTGAACTTTTCTTCACAGTGTCTGTTGTACCCTTCCTTTTTCACAGCTATTCTTATTTCAGATGTTCACCTCACACCTAGGTTACTCCAATAGCCTTTAAAGTTTATTTATTTTGAAAGAGAGCACATGCATGTGTGCACACATGCATGTGTGAGCAGGAGAGGGGTAGACAGAGAGGGAGAGAGAATCCCAAGCAGACTCCTTGTTGTCAGCACAGAGCCTGACACGGGGCTCAATCTCACGAACTGTGAGATCATGACTTGAACCGAAATCAAGAGTCAGACACTCAACCGCCTGGTGTCACTCAACCGCCTGGTGTCACTCAACTGCCACTCAACTGGTGTCTCTCCAATAAAGAGCCTTTAATACTTCCTGTACCCTGTTTCCAGATTTGTCAGCTGACCTGATTCATGTAAAGGATCTTATACACCACAAAGCAGTATACAGTTATAACAAACTATATTCTTTAGAATTGTTTCAAGTCACTCCCCTATTCAAGAATACACAATGAAGTGTCACCATCTGAGGTGTGAACTACTCTATCCAACATCCCTCTAAGACAGAAGTTCTCAAACTTTCTTGGTTCATGGCACCCTGAAGTCTCAAGTTTTTCATGGCACTTTTGGGTCAAAAGTGGTATGTACCAGTTCTAGTTATTAAACAGTTAGGTCCAAACAATTTAGTTGGTATTTATGTTCTAAAATGTAGCATTTATGTGAGAAATCAATGCATATGAATTGAAAATAAATTATTTCATCTTAAAATAGTCACAATTACTTACTAATGGGGAGTGTGTGCATGCCTGTTGGGTACTGAACCCCTACTCGAACTTTGGAATGAAAGTGGACACAGTTTCCCTCACTTCTTATTCAACACTGACTTTCATGTATTACTTTTTATCACAGCAACCACCAAAAACCCAGATTCACAAAGATATGGTGCACTCAAAAGGAATGCAACAGATTTTGGTACCTGGAAATGGGGTACTGCTGTGACAAATACCCATAAATGCGGAAGCAGCTTTAGAGTTGAGCAGTGGGCAGAGGCTGAACGAATTTAAGGAGAATGACACAAATTGCCGAGATTGTAATCTAGGTTCTAGATTGAACAGACTGTGGGTAGAAATACGGATACTAAACAGCTCTGTGGTGAGGGCTCAGATGGAAGTGAGGAGTGTGATAGAGAAAACACAAATGTCCTCAGAGACTATCTGAATCACTGTGAACAGATGGCTAGGAGAATTAGGGATGTTAATGGTGCTGCTGGTGAAGGCTCAGAAGGAAATGAAGAACATGCTGATGGAAAATGTGAGGGAAGGTGGTCCTTGTTACACAGTGGCAGTAAGCTTAGCAGAATTGGGTCCTACAGTTCTGTGGAAAAGCAGAACTTGTAAATGATGTAACTAAACATTTAGCTAAGGAGATTTCCAAGTAAAGTGGTGAAAGCGTGGCTGGGTGTCTTCCTGCTGCTGACATAAAATGTGGGAGGAAACACACAGATCAGGAAAGAACTATTTGTCAAAAAGGAACCAGGGCTTAAATGATTTTGGACATCCTCAGCCTATGCAGATTGCAAAAGATGCTAAAATGAAGACATTCACTGTCAGGAAAGCATGCATGCTCTGGAGAAAAAGTCAAGGCTGTAGCTACAAAACCTTTTGCTAACATCTCAGATCAAAAGGTCAGAGCATTCAGTCACACAAAAAGCTCTTTCAAAAGATTAAACATGTGACTCAGATCACCACAGCCATCTCAGCAGAAGCCAAGAATAGAAATAGGATTATCTAGGAAAGACCTGTCAAGAGCTTCTTGTCTGACCGAATGAATATCCATGACATACATGTGGAGACCCACAAGGTTCTTGAGAATGGGGTGCTAGCACAAAAACTGCCAGACTGGACTGAAGGGATGGAGAGAGTATGAAATTGAAAGAAGGCTGGTGGACCTCCAAAACTCTAAGGCCAGGAAACAGGCTGATACAACAACTCAGATGCAAATACATGCTACCTTTCCTGAGAAAGGTAAGATGACTCTGAGGGTGCAGCCATGAGCCCACAGGGCAGGGCCTTCAGTTTATAGGAGGAAGCCACAAGCCCCAGAAGATTCTTCCCAGGTCTTGAAATTTAATGGAATTCGTTGGACTGGATTTTGAAATTGCTTGAGACCTGTGACTCCATTTTCCTTCAATTTTCTTTTCCGTCTGAAGTGGAATATCTATAACTGGTATCCTATGCTTGTCTTGCCATTATATCTTGAGAGCAAAATACAAAAAAAGGGACACAACTGCAGATGGAGTGGAATTTTATGCCAGGATGCATCAGACCCACACCTGATTCAGATGATGAGATTTGGGGATTCTGAGCTACTGATGGTTAGATGAGAGTTTAGACTTAAAGTTGTTGTAATAGTTGAGAGTTTGGGGGATGTTGGGATGGGATAAATGTATTTTGCATGTGAGATGTAAGTGGATCTCCGAAGGCCAGGAGGCAGGCTGTGGTAGGCGGAATAATGGTCCTCGGTCCTCTCCAAAGAGGTCACGTCCTGATGACTGATCCCTGAAACCTGTGACTATATCAGGATTCCATGGCAAGGGGGAATTAAGGTTGCAGATGGAATTAAGGTTACTTACCAGCTGACCTTAAGAGAGGGAGATTATCCTGAATTATCCAATTGTAATCACAAGGGTCCTTTAAAGTAGAAGAGTGAGGGCAGAAGAGGCAGAATCGGAGTTGATGCGGCAATGACAGAAGCAAGGTCACTGGAGGCATGTGATTCGAGAAGGACTCAACCCACCACTGATGGTTCTGAAGATGGAGGAAGAGGGCCACGGGCCAAGGAATGCCAGCAGCCTCTAGAAGTTGCAAACGGCAAGGAAGTGGATCCCCCCTGGAGCCCCCAGAAAGGAGTGTGGCCCTACTAATACCTTAATTTTAGCCTAGTGAGAGATCTGTGCTGGGCTTCTAACCTACAGAACTCGAAGAGAACAATTTAGTGTTGTCTTCAGCCACTAAGTTCGCAGTAATTTGTTCCAACAGGAGTAGAAAACTATTTCTATTATTTATAGGCAGAAGTCAAGCATCACTGTATTTCCCTCAAAAATCTAAAATATCCTGTGGCTCCCCCGTGAGTTCATTATGTGCAGCTGGGCACATAGTTTGGGAACTGTGGCTCCAGGACAGGGAATGGCAAACTACAGCCTGGGGGCTAAATTCAGGCCACTGCCTGCTTTTGTGTGTGTCTGTGTGTGTGTGTGTGTGTGTGTGTGTGTGTGTGTGTGTATATATTAATTACTGGACACAGACACAGACATGCTCGTTCCTTTACTTATTGACTGGCTACTTTCATACTACAGCAGAACTGAGTAGTTGTGACAGAGACCATATGGCCCACAAAATCTAAAACATTTCCTTTCCGGCCCTTCACAGGATAAGTCTGTCTGTCAACTCCTGCTCTAGGATATGGCCCTACTCTATCCGTTTGACTCTATTTCCCTTCACTCTAGTTATATCTCTTATCCCCATGGCCTATATTGTCACCATTCTGAGTTCTCACTGCTTTATATCATGCTATAATTACGTCCTGGAATTCCCTTCCCCCTGTTTCTAAATCCCATATTCTATAAGACAAATCTCAAGCCCTATCTGTCTTATCAGGGCATTTTCCCTATACCATATCACTTGGTTTTGATTGATCACACATTTTATTGCTCTCCAAATTGTTTCACATCTGTGACAATTCATTATTACAAACAGACCGTAAGCTCCTCAAAGACAGCAACCATGTCTTGAATTTCTCTGGAAAATTCCATAAAGCCCAGTCATGGTGCCATGCACCAGTGAGGTGCTCGGTGGGTATGTGTTCATTATATTTCTTCAGCTGAAACTCACTCTAAAAATGTTGTAAGTTTGAGCCCTGATAGGTGCAGCTGAAATCTGATATCCACAACTATTAAGAGTGATATTGCAGATGATTTATTTGTAGACATTCCAGCAGTATGATGGCTGGTATCTCTTTTAGCATTTGCAGTTTTGATTATCTACAATACTCGTAGGATGGGTTTCTGATAGCAAACAGCTTTCTCTAATCCTCTTCTCAAAGTCCCCTATTTTTTTTTAACTAAACACCTTTTCATTTTATATAAAATGGCGTAAAAAAGGAAAATGATGCCAGAACTGGGATAAGAGTAGTGCAAATTTATTATCCTCAAAAGACTCTGTATGTAGGACAGTACATACAGTTTCCTGTTTTTAATAAAATGTGTAGCAGATATGAAGCCACTTAAGGCAGAAATCCTAGATGTTTAACTAAATAAACCTACTGTCTGTGGAATCTCTCTATTTGAATCCCCCGCAATCACCTCAAACACATCATGCTGAAAGATCACAAGCCAAGGTCTAATACCTCTAAAATTTAAAAAGGAGATGGGGAGGCAGTGACAAAGATGATATAAGAAAGACATTAAGTAGTTTTTAATATCTAATATTTGAATTTCACAAATCTTAACTACCTGGCTAATCACCAGAAATTCACTGTTCCTTTCACTCAAAAAAACAACCAAATAAACAAAAAACAAAAGCAGAAAAACTTGGCTCACAGACAGTGTCAAACTGATGTCACTTCTAAGCTTTCACTCTTAGGAGTCAAGTCTTAGTTAAAGATCTCCATTATAAAAGGAGGATCTCACATTTATAAAAGGCCATTTTCCTTAAATTGGGGGCAGGTAGTTACCATACCCACTGAGCAGCCCTAGTGATCAAGAACCAATTTCCCTGAAATTAAATTGGGGCTGCCATCCAAACAGCTGTCTCTTTTTGAAGCACTAAACCTAAAATTCCCATGGTTGCTGATAAATTAAAGTGTAACACTTAACTAATTCTATTACATTTTTTGTGTACAAACGAAAAAAGATTTGGGGAAATACTTTTCCCCCACTCTAAAATCTGCTACTGAGGCTTCAAGGAAAATGGCACCAAATGTCCTGATGTCTTCTTCCTCCATACTCCCAGGACACCACTTGCCCTTTCGTGACTTTGCATATACTTCCCTCTGCTTAGAACGTCCCTTCCCTATTTGTCCACCTAGCAAACTCCAATTTCTCCTTCAGGTTTAAGCTCAGGTATAATCTGCTTTGTGAAGCCTTGCTTGACTCCTTTAGGCATATTTAAAGGCTCTTCCCATTTTGCATGCATCTCCCACTGAAGCAATTATTTTATAGGTATTTATGTTTCTTATCTGCACATATCTCATCCCATTTGTTCATAGGCATCAAGGATTCTTACCTTTCATTCCTATGTTCTAGTATCTGGCACCTAGGAAATATCTCATATTTGGTGAAGGAAAGAATGAACAATCCATCCCTCCCCAAAAGTTTTACAATAAACTATTAAATCCTGGCTTTATCAACTCCTTTTTTGTCTCCTAACAATATCCTTGCTGCTTCAGCCCCAATGTCAAATTCCTTTTCGATTCATTTTTAGTCTTACCTATGAAATCTAGATGCTTCCATGAAAACACACATGTCCTTCCTGCTGTTTTCCTCTCAATCTGTTCATTGGCTTCAAGAAAATCTTTTGGGGGCACCTGGGTGGCCCAGTTGCTTAGGCATCCAACTCTTGATTTCGGCTCAGGTCACGATCTCACGGTCATGAGATGGAGCCCTGCATGGGGCTCTGCACTGACAGGGTGGAGCCTGCTTGGTATTCTCTCTCTGCCCCTCCCCTGCGCACTCTCTCTCACTCTCTCTCTCAAAATAAACAAACAAATATTTTATCTCTAATCTTGGGAAAGTGACTGGAAAGAATTCTCAAGTTAATTTATCTGCCTGGTTTTCAGAGATGATTTTAGAGGTTTCAGAGAATAGAATCATACCTGAATAAACTATCAGAAACACCTCAGGTCGGGAGTGACTCACCGGTACTCCTTGGTGTACTCAAAGTCTTGTTTGTTGTAGGAAGGTTTTAAGAAATTGCACTCAATGACTCCAATCACTCCCACACCTTCTCCATGAGTTGGCTTAGAAGAAAAATATTAATTTCAACATTTACATTATTGTTGACTGTATGAGGCATTTCCTTTTGATTTTAAACAGCAATAGAAAGATTACATAACATTCAAAGGCAAGGAAAGTACATCATCTAGAGAAATACTCAAAATGAACTTCAATAGACTGCAAAAAATTAAATCGAATTGGAACCTCTGATAAATTCTAAGGCAGAGATTTTCACATGATCCATAGATTCTCTGGGATTTTCCAGGGATTAATGGCCATCTCTGCTTCACCCACATTACTTCCATTTCCATCTGTTTTGTATTATGGGATTGCCATAGGATTTCCTTTGAACAAAGAATGACAATGCTACAAAAAATCAAGGCTATATACTATTGCTCTAGAGAATGAAAATGAAACTTCATCTGAAAAAATGATTTTAAGGAGGCTATGTAAATACCACACTCTAGTCATATAAATAATTTATACATTAGGTAGGCTACCAAACAATTACTAAAGGGAGTCAGACTTGCAATGGTTATTAACTACAAGCTGATACAAGAGATTTTTGGATTTAAAAAGTCAAGGTGTAATTAGACTGGCATATAAATATGAGTTGTACATATAAAGATGATATAATAATAAAAAGCAGCTTAGCTGTAAACTAGCTACCCTGGATCTTACAGAACTTTGTCCTACTGCAGAATACAAAGTGGCTTCTCATTCTTTGTGGTTTAATAATCCTATCTGTACAATAGGAACAAATGGGATACTTATGGATATTACTACTTTAAATTGCCATTAAAACATTAAAGACAATGGTAATATCTGTATAGTTCAGTTCATAAAGTATTTTCACATGCTTTATCCCATTTATGTCTCTCAAGCCTTTAAGCTGTGGAGCAGGCAGAGCAGGTAAAATTATTTATTGTTGTTTCTATTTTACAGGGAAGGAAAATGAGCCTCAGAGAAATTAAACAATTTAGTGAAGCTTTTACAGCTATACAGCTTTTAAGTGGAAAAGCCACAACTCAAATCCTGGTCCTCAAACACTAAATTTTATGCACCTTCTACTAGGCCTTGTTGTCTCCCCAAGAAAAAAGACAGAGCTACCTTAAAGCATTAATAAGCTGATACACATGCCAAAGTCACTGGTGTTCTAATTCTCTCTCTTCTCAACAGCTACCTAGAAAATGCATTCAGTAAAGTTCCTGGATTGATTAACATCTGTGAAGAATGAGAAGTAGAAGGGGCTTTTTAACACAAGATGGCTCACCAGCTCACTGGTAACAGAGTTCCGGGATCAGATTTAACAGCCATTGTAAGGTGGGAGTAAAAGCCTATAGTGAGTCTATGCCCTTTGCAAATTTTAAATCCTTGTTCTCCTTGTTTTAGACTTCTATGACAAAGAAACATTAACCACTTACCTTCACCTGGCATCCCACCTTCTCAAAAGACTTTATGAGGCGGTTGTTATGATACATCATTACTCCAAACTGGTTATCACTCTTGCAAGAGAACCCAAAAGTTATTTTCACCTGCTTATTCTGAGAGGAAAATCATTAAGGAGACAAACACCAGGGGATTTGGCAGACAACTTTTTGCACTGTGTTACAGCAAAAAAACAAACAAACAAACAAACAAAAAAAAATCAAATACCATTGGATGTAAATTGGTATAACTTTCCAGAGGACATTTAAAAAAAAATCTGTACCAACAGCTTTAAAAATACTCTTAATCTTTGACCAAGTCATTCTCTTTCCAGAAATTTATCCTAGAGAGACAGTCAGGAAAGCCCATAAAGGTTATGAGATTTATCAACTAGTTATGTCAGAAAAACATAAATAATTTAAATGTTTGACACTAAGGAAATAACTAAATAAATGTTGGTATAGTCACATGGTCTATTATGCACCTCTGAAAATTATGTCCTTGAAAAATATTTGGTAACATTAGGAAATGTTAGAATATAATAATAAGCATTATCTAAAAATATGTATATATAAATATATGCATAGAAAAGAGAGTAAGAAAATACACCAAAATACCATCAGTGGTTTAAAAATTCATAAATAATCACAAAACATGTCTTAACCCTTGCTAGTTGCTCAGTTGGCTGCTAGGTAAGATAAGAGTTGTAGCTAGTACAACACAAATCCACACAATCATAGTTGATGCTTGAACAACACATGTTTGAAACTGCACCGGTTCACTTACGCATGGATTTTTTTCAATAAATATATTGGAAATATTTTTGGAGGTTTGTGATGATTTTTAAAAACTCAGACAAAAATGAGCTGTGTAGCTCAGAAGTACCAAGACACAAAAAATAAAGTTAGGTACTACTGTAAGAATGCAATATATAGTATCATACAAAATATGTAAACTGTGTATGTTATCGGTAAGGCCTCCCATCAACAGAAGGCTACTGGTGATTAGGTTTTGGGGGAGTCAAAAGTTATACTCAGACTTTCAACTGTGAAGGGGGTAAGTGTCCCTAACCCCCACACTGTTTAAGAGTCAACTGTATAAGCAATAAAGTAAGTCCTGCTAATCACACAAAACACAATGAAAGCAAAAGCATGAAGAACAAAATCACTTTTAAAGGTAAAGGGCAACGAATAGTCCTGTTGTACCATATTTCATGGGAAGAAGTGAACAAGCTTGGATAGATGAAATAAAGTGGACTAAATATGACACATAAAAAATGAACAAAGATGTGTTTTTAGCAATTCTATTTGATTTAAAAAACGAAGATAAGAGAATGAGAAAGACAAAGGGGAGACAGAGAAACTGAAATTTTCCTAAAAACAAATACTGAGAAATCTTCATGTCAAAATGAGTTAACTTAAAATTTACTTTTGTTACCAATTCAAATAATGATCTCTAGGGGTGCCTGGGTGGCTCAGTTGGTTAAGTGTCCGACTTGGTTTTGGCTCAGGTCATGATCTCACAGTTCATGAGTTGGAGCCCCATGCAAGACTGTGTTCTGTCATCTCAGAGCCTGGAGCCTGCTTCCAATTCTGTGTCTCCCTTTTTCTCTCTGCTCCTCTCCCACTCCCACTCTGCCTCTCCCCCTCTCTCTCAAAAATAAATATGAAAAAAATTAAATAAGTATTTCTTATGAAAAAAGAGATTTCCAGAATCTCCAAAATCTCAGGATGCTATATGATTTTAATAATTCCCAGGTGGTCTCTGATAAAACTGGTACATAGATTGGCATTTAAGAAATACCTTCTAAAAATAAAAAAGATCACCTTCTTAAAGAATATACCATAAAAGGATTAGTATTATAACACACATTTTTTTAATTAGAAAAGGAAAGGCTTTTGTTCTTCTACGCCAACTTGGGAATCTAATCCTGAAATGAAGAGGTCAACTTCATGCAGCTGTAAGGATACTGTGAAGGTAGGTTTATACAAATCATATCCTACATTGGCCAGGCTCTTGGCAATCATCTGGGTAGTCACCTTCTTTTGACGCAGAAAAATTTTCATTCGTGGCTTCATATACAGAATACCACAAAATGCCTATGGAACAGTGAAGGGAAAATTATTATGACATTGCCAATTCTACTGACACCCTCATAAAACACTGCTAGTGACTGAGGTCTATTCTGGGTAAAGAGTTGGCTTAGTTTCTATACCTTGTTTATGTCAACCACCACACTAAAGTGCTATTGACTCTATTAGCTAAATTCAGTGGAGACAGGGATAAAGGAATCCTAGCACAGGGCTAAGAGATAGTCATCTTAACTAAAGTGAGGGCTTGTTCTATAATGTTTTCATGTTACAAGAAATCTTACCTCTCATTGTTGAAGAAAAACCACCCTCACTCACCCGTAAAGAATACTCTGTTTCTGGCAGCTCACAGGTAACACCACCAGTCTCTTTTTCGTCTGTGCCAAAGTCTGATACCAGGATATCATACTGATCTGTATCAAAGTCCAACTCAGACTTTCCATCTTTATTTCTGGGTAAAAGAGACAAGTACCAATCTAACAAATACTGGCTCCAAAGGACAAAAATGCACTAGGAACCCAAGAGAAAAGAAACAATATGAGCCAAAACTCAGATACCTATTTCTTTCCCTGGCTACCAGTGTAAAGTAACTACAAATTACTTGGTTTGAAGATCACACAATTTTGAGACGTATTCCCAGTTTAAACAAATTCACTATATTTCATAGAAGTGGTGATGCCAAGTACAGAAGAAAAGAAAAAAAAAGGGAAGGTGGGAAGGTCTGTGATCTGATAAATCAACTGGATGTCAGCTACCCTCACGGTGGGATCTTAAAATAGATCACAACTTTCTGGGTATTGCTGGGTAGGTCATTCAACAGCATCTTCCCCAACCGTGTTAATAGATGAATGAATCAAAACCCGCTTCTTCTAATTTCAGCAATAGTATAAGGAATAATGAAATACCAAGATTTCCCAGATCTAATCCTATTTCTTAGAGGGGGAAAAAGGTTGCTATAGCAACAGCATGTATCTGCTAGTCCTCTAGAATATCATTTATGGAATTATCACTTAAATATAACAGTATTCATATTACTTTCATAAAGATCTTTCTTCTTCTCATAATCCTTTTTGGGCTACTTAACTTTGATCCATTCCAAGACCCTGGACTATACCACTAATAACTGCCAGGGTAAAAAGGCAAGACCCATCTTTGTTCCTGGAAAAAACTAAAAACATATGATGGGTTATAGAGAAAACATCTTTATCAGAACAATAGTTCCCAAAGTTTGTTCAGTGGAACAGTAGTTCCCCCAAATACTCTTAAATAAGAAATAAAGTAGTAAGGGTTATATGACTGAATAAAATTGAGGAACAATTCCTGGTTCTCAGAGCCACCTCAGGCTCTAGTGATACCTCCCCCTCATACTTCAGGCTCCACAAGCTCAGAGCCGATGTGCTGAAACTGTAGCTCCTTCTTCAGGGCTGTACCAGAGCCATTATGGTATGTACTAAAGCCCACCTCACTATAATAGTATATTCTGGATTTTCCAAGGATATTCCTGATCCTTGCTACCTCACCCCACTATAACACATACTCTGAGGAAGTTCCCTGTCCTCCCTGCCTCTCACCATTCATGGAAAAGAGGTCTGGGTGGCTCAGTCGGTTAAGTGTCCCACTTCAGCTCAGGTCATGATCTCATAGTTTGGGAGTTCATGCCCCACGTCGGGCTCTGTGCTGAATGGCTCAGAGCCTGGAGCCTGCTTCAGATTCTGTCTCTCCCTCTTTCTCTACCTCTCCCCCACTCACCCCGTCTCTCTCTCAAAAATAAACATTAGAAAATTAAAAAAAAAAAAAAAAAAGGAAGAGGTCTGGAGAAACTTTTTTTTTTAATTGGGAAATACCACATACTATATTGCTCTCTTAAACATTTTCAATGCAGACTGAAATAACATTAGCATATTAAAGCCTCTGAGAAGTCGATCAATAAAGCAACATGGTAAACTTTGTGTAAGCCAGTTTTCCCCACAGTTACTTGACCATAGAATCTTTTATTCACATAACACCTAATACCATATAACTGAGAAACAATGTACAAAGAAACAAGTCTCCTTAATGTTTAAATCATTAAAACACCTCAGGAAAATGATCCTTTATTATATAAATGTCATTACTAAAAGTTTTTCCAGTAGGATGCAGAAGATCTAAATTACCAATCTTTTTTCTTTTTAATTGAAAGCAGTCTATATAAACCATGATAGTTTTTATATAGTTTTACCCAGCTAAGAAATGAGGCAAAAGACTTGACCTAAGGAGAAAAATAAGAATGAATACATCTGATAGCCTGTTCTATTAGATACCAGTATCATATCCATTTTATGTAAAAGGCTTCTAGATTTTTGTGGACACTTAAATGTATTACTTGACATGACCAGATTAAACAGATGGTGATGTATCCTAGAGCATTTCTAGATGGTTTTATTAGCTCTGAACACATGACCTAAAGCTAAATTGACATTATAGGTCCAATTTACCTGCTTCAAAGATTTTCATACTTCTAATCCAGCTACTCTGAAAGCACAAATAAGAGGTCATCATTTTTAAAGATCATGTTGTGCTTTTCTAACTTTTCTTTCTCATACTTAATTTCAATTGTCAAATATGTAAAGTAACTATCATTCTCCTATCTCAAAACAATGCCCATGAATATAAAATAATTATAGTGGATCCTCCAGATCTTGGAATAATGCTGAACTGTCTTGATTATTTATGGCAATAGCCTCAGGATATGCAGGTCTTCACTTTACCAAGCTCCACATTTTACCAGTAAAAACCACTATTACAAACGTCCAAGGAAGTAAATGCAAAATATGCAATGACATGCAAATATGTCAAAATTTATCTACTCTGCTTCTCTAAAGAAGACTTCTTAAAACGTGCTTCATCATACTACCTGTGCTTATTTGAATCTATCACCCTAGAAATACTATACCTGCGGATGTTCCAAATGAGAACACGAGTGCCTTTTTTGCCTGGGATGGCATCAAACTGGGACAGCAGGTCATTTTCACTGTTGAAAATGGAATAGTTCAAGATGGCTTCTAGGCTAGGCAAGGAATCCTCGGTGATAATCATTTTTTGTAAAACCAAATATAGTCAAAGAAAAATTAGTATCTTAAAAATATCTTTTTTTTTTAAATTGGGAAATACCACATACTCTATTAGCTCCGTCAAACATTTTCAATGCAGACTGAAATAACATTAGCATATTAAAGCCTCTTTATAATAGAAATGTCATTAGAAGTTATCAATTCGGAAGATCTGCCTTTGGGGTTGCATGTTTAGACAAAACATGAACATACAGAGGGAAAGCATGAAAAGCACAGGCATTACTGCTACAGAAGGAAGGAAAGGGGGAACGTGCAGAAAGGTTGTATAGACAAACACCCAATCAGTTACCCCTGCAGACTGCACCTTCAAAGGTACAATGTAAACAAAGACTAAGAAACATGAAAGGCTGAATTTTTAGACTCTCTGGGAATAAGAAGTTCAAACTTTACTGCTATACTGCTTGGATCAAAACAACCTGTTGTCTAATAAAAAGAAAAAAAACCAGCTTATCTAGATGTAGGGAAATGAGCCATTCTGCAATCAGATAAGCTAATAGTTTCTAGGAGTATGATGCAAATATAATTACCCTTAGGGGAAACAGAGAAGGCCCTGGGAACTTTACCAAGAGAGTGGTGGGGTGGGGGTGAGGGTGAAAGATTATTTAAATCAAATCTCAAAACAATGGACATTTTAATACAATAAAAACATTTCTAACATTCTATCAACAGTACAATTATTTTAAAAGTACTTAATAGGGTGAAATTCCAGTTAAATTTAAGATACTTGAATATCTCTTTAAATATGAAAACTCTTGTGGGTGCCTGGGTGGCTCAGTCAGTTGAGCCTCCAAGCTTCCTACTCTCCTACTATTGATTTCAGCTTGGGTCATGATCTCATGGTTCCTCCGGCCAGGATGACAGTGCAGAGCCTGCTTGGGATTCTCTCTCTGCCCCTCCCGCACGCATGTGTGTATGAGTGCGCACGCACGCTATCTAAATAAATAAATAAATAAATAAATAAATAAATAAATAACCATTAAAAAAAGAAATATGAAAACTTTTGATAGCTGGATTTGAGCTGAAGAAAAGAGGTTTCTATCATTAACGGTCAGATCAGACTCGTTTTTAACCGACATTCTCCATTTCCAGAAAGGATATTGTTTTGATTGAATGGAACAATTGGTACAATAACTGCCTGTGCCTGGACACATTCCAGATAGGTCTGTGATAGGAGTCCAACAGTGAGAGTACCCCCATTCTTGGTGAAGACAAGAGCGTCCTTTCCTAGTCGCATGGAGCCTGACTTGAAACCATTACCAAAGACCCCGATGGGACACTGGCTCTTCTTTATTACTTTATCTGTAAAGCCAAAGCTGTAATTACACAAGAAAACAGAAATCAGAAAAAAAAAGAATTCAGAAAAGTAAAAAAACATCCTAAGATAGGTAACAGAATGGCTTGCAAATTCAAAATACTTAGAAAAGTTCACTCCTGCTTTCTTCCTTTTGGTACTTGTGGGCAAAACTATTAAGTGGAAAACCTAGGAAATTACTGTGAGGTAATAGCACTGATTCTCCTGTGTGGTTTGTGGGTACACAGACACCTCCACCACAGTGGAGTCACACTTTACAAATGTAAAGGTAACAGAGAGAACTGGAGAAGGCCATGGGCAGCTGCCTTTCTTGCCTAGACAAAGTGGTTCTGATTGCGAATAGTAAAGTTAGGGTAAGGTGGAAAGGGGGTTATCTCAGAGTACCCCCTAGAGAGGGTAACAAAAGTAACAGATGGTGGCACTGGTCAGAAGTACTAGACTAGGCATCCCCTAACCTGGTTATATCACCCGCTAGAGATCTAAGTCAGAGGTTACATATCTTAACAGTTTCAACTCTCCACCGAAAGGATAACTCTTCCAATTCTTACCCTCTGCTCCATCTGCTGGGACAGGTCATTGGAATGTGGCCAAGGGATAAAAATAGGTAGTTCTGCCGCTGAATATCAGCAAACAGCTGCAGTGTAAAGTCTCTCTTGTTTTATTAAGGGCCTTTCACTGAGTCACCTCAACAATCTCTGAAGCCAGATTCTTTCCCTTTCTTATATTCTCCACTCAAAATACATGACAAAGTAACAGAAACAAAAAATTAATGAAGACATGAAACCTAGAAAATGACTATTGGCTTCTTCATATGCCTTCTCTCACCACAAATAAAACTAATTTTAAGGATTGCTCCTCTCCAGATACAATGTTGTACGCTACCATTCATTCAGCAAATATTTACTGAGTACCTACTACTATGTGCTGGGCATTGTACTGAGCACTGGAGACACAACTGTTAATTAAAAAGAAAGACATGACTCTTGCCTTCATGGTTTGCATTGTAAGGAAGGATTTCATATATTACAGATTAGATGTTTCTCCAACATCAATGGACACTCTATCTGCCATGGGTGAGCAGGCTGGCCTTGGCTCTTACTCTTTTGAGCAGGGTTGAGGTACCTAGTTTCCACTTCCTGAAGGCTGCGGTTTGTGCTTACTCCTTAAGAAAGGGGACTACCTTTTAATTTTCTCTTTCAAAGTGTTAAACAATAATACCAACATGTCCTCCTAGCTTCATAAGAGGTTTGTATATCCTACAAATAAATCTAACCACAGAAAAAGGTAACTTCTAAGGCAGCAGTTCCTTTGAAGACACCAAAAGATCATTGAGTTTCTGTAGTCACGGGCCTTAGTATGCCAGGAAATAAAACGTATAGAAGCTGGTAAAATTCAGGCATTCCTAATCCTCTTGTCTAAGAATGGCCTAGAAAAGATGGCGTCATCAGGAGGATTAAATTACACATTATCTGTGCAATGTATTTTAAGTTATAAAGTAGGGTTCAAACCTTAACTTTAACTCTAGAAGTCTTTCTAAGAACCGTCCCGTGCTATCCTCTACCTCAACTTCAGATCGAATGTTGTACCTAAAATTCAGGGCTCTGCATAAACAGTAATCTTACCTACCACATGGAGTGAATCTATATGGTTATCTGGACTTAAACCTCTAATGGACTTAACCTCTATCTGGACTTAAATGCCACAAAAGCTTCAAATTGGTGGTTAAGAGAAAGTGGTGAAAACAGAGACTATATTAATCCCCTTAATTTCCTAGCCATTCCTACATCTTCTGCCATCTATCATCTCTTTTTCCCTTTGTAAAGTATAAATCCTCCTCATGTTACTTAGTTTGGAGAGACCAAATGACTACATAAGGTGAGAAGATAAGTAATAGCCCAAGGCCAGAACCAGACATGGAAAAGGATAAGAAAAATGAGAAACTCAGGATTTTGTTGTTGCTGTTGCTGTTTTGTTCCACTTAACCCATCCTATGTGTTCCATTATTCTATTTATATTCCCATGTTAGGTATTCTATTTAACTGAAAATTGCAGAATGACCGCCAGATACCAATCAAATAACTACCGAGTAGAAAAGCCCTCACAACGAAGAACAGAACTGTAGGGCTGAATTTTATATCGTTTGGTGTAGCACACTGATTTTCCAGATATCTCTTGGCTTAGGTGGCTTCCTTAAGTAAGTCCTGTTCTACCCTTTCGTGTGAGAGACAGCAGTGTTTACACACCAAGGGGGCTTGGATACCAGCTTTTTGAGTGGAATCCAGGAAGACAGCAGCTTGCTCCCGAGTTCCTTAAAATGTCAAGACTCAAATGTCTGAAGAGAGAAATTCCAATTGAGACTCTGACCAATGAAACAAACCTCAGCAAATCCGTGGACATACAAAGTCAGGCACTGCTGTTTCCTAGACATACTGGTGATGTAAAATAGGTAAGAGAAAAGAATGGAAGGCTGCTAATAAGCACATTATTATTCTTTGGCTGTTGTTTTAGAACAGACCTGCTAGGAAACCTGCTAGGATCTGTGGCTGTTTTTAATCCTTGACCTTTGAAAGAGGTTTTCTACCTTGCTGAAAAAGGTAGCTGAACATACAGACTAGCTGGTTCACACTATCCCCAGAAGCTAAAGAGAATTCACTGTGGACTTTAAAGGAATTTAATGATAGGCTGTTCCTTCTTAATTTGATTTTCACTGGAATTCTGTATTTATGGGAAAAACTGTTGCTGCAGTTACAGAACTATTTTATTAAACTGGAAACAGGAAGGGTGGCATGAAGAACTGAAAAACGTGAATAGGATTATTAAAAATGTTATACAGGTCAAATAGAATTTCAGTGGGCTTAATCATTTTTGTAAAATTACCTCTATGATTATGCAAAAGTAATATGTCCCTAAACAAATCCAGAAAAACGAACATTCTTGAATAATTTCCAAAGCTACCTCTAAAGTTCAATTATTTATAATCAAATTGTAGTAAGTGGAATCCATGGCTAGGAGTTAGGATTGGACTGCAAGAACTTTTAAATAAATGGGACCTTTGGGGCACCTGGGTGGCGCAGTCGGTTAAGCATCCGACTTCAGCCAGGTCACGATCTCGCGGTCCGTGAGTTCGAGCCCCGCGTCAGGCTCTGGGCTGATGGCTCAGAGCCTGGAGCCTGTTTCCGATTCTGTGTCTCCCTCTCTCTCTGCCCCTCCCCCATTCATGCTCTGTCTCTCTCTGTCCCAAAAAAAATAAATAAATGTTGAATAAATAAATAAATAAATAAATAAATAAATAAATGGGACCTCCCAGCTCATTCAAGTTTGTTTTAAGATATAATCACAAATAAAATCTGGTACATATACTATGCATTAATCCAGGACTCATTAAAATCCCCTAAAATTAATTTTTTAAGTATGAAGAACAATTGCCCAGTTCAGATTAGTGGGAAACATATTTGGTGTGATAATGCCAAAAATGCTATCGCTAAGTAAGTTTCTGCCTGTTTTGCTGTTTTGTTCCTTGGGGAGGGAACAGTATTATGAATGGATGATACTCATCCTTCATATTTCAACTCAAATGCCATGTCTTCAGGATAGCCTTTTTTAATTCCCTAGACTAGATTAGATCACTCCATTATATATTCTCATAGAAGCTGTATTCTTCCTTCACAGCACTTACCACTAGGTGAGATAACCTATTTAGTTGTATCACTAGTCAATTCTTTTCTAGCGTTCTCACTAGACTGTCAGTCAGCCCCTTGAGAGCAAGGATCACGTCTAGAGTCTGGTTCACCACTTTATCTCCAGTGACTTTCACGTAGGTGCTCAGTAAAAATTGGTTGAATGAATCTGGAACAAAAATTGTTGCAATTACTTTGAAACCATCCTCTTCCCTTCTCTTGCCTTGTAACTATAAGCACCAACTTTCATAGATGTGGTTCCACAGACAAAATAGAAGGTGGTTAAGATTTGCTGGGTCCACTCTTTGACACCCATGTCACTAGGATAAAGTGTGGTGGGAAGAAGTTATTAAAAAAATATGTGGGGGCACTTGGGTGGCTCAGTCGGTTAAGTGTCCAACTTTGGCTCAGGTTACAACCTCTCAGTTTGTGAGTTTGAGCCCCGGGTGGAGCTCTGTGCTGACAGAGCCTGGAGCCTGTTTCAGATTCTTTGTCTCCCTCTCTCTCTACCCCTCTCCCACTCACGTTCTGTCTCTCTTTCTCTCTCAAAAATAAACATTAATTTTTTTTTAATTTTAAAAATGAAAAATTTAAAATAATTTAAAAAAAGAAAAAAACGTGATTTTATGGGACACCTGGGTGGCTTAGTCAGTTAAACATTTGACTATTGGTTTTGGCTCAGGTCATGATCTCATGGTTCATGGGTTTGAGCCCTGCATCAGGCTGCACAGCTGGCAGTGCGGAGCCTGCTTGGGATTCTCTTTCTCTTCTTCTCTCTCTGCCCCTCCCCCGCTCACACTGTTTCTGTATCTCTCAAAACAAATAAATAAGCTTAAAAAAAGAAAATATGTGATTTTAGAAAAAAAGCAAATACATACATAATTAGAAATGTTTTGGTTCCAGCCCATCTAACACTGTATTTTTCTTAATATAAAATATTAACTTTAGGAGATAAAAGTAATGCTAAAAATTAAAAGAGTGGGCCAACTCCACACCTTCACCAACATACTGGCCACATCTTTATCTCACTTCTAGCTTTCCTTGAATATTCTTCTAATTATAAGGGTCTGAGACACAAGGTACACAGACTGCTGAGTGGTAAAACATAACATATTAACTGGTTAGTGCCCAAATTTCATTTTTTTTCGATGGAGCAAAGGGATTTCCTATAAATAGGGTTACACAATTAGAATACCTTTAAAGAGAACTATAACCAAATGAACGTTTTCCATTTTTATAGTTCAGAACCCTTTCCCTCCTCCACAGAACCCCTCTTCCATTGTTACTTATGTTTCACACACTAGTTCAGGAAGCCACATGGAGAGTAATTAACCTCATCTGCTAAAAATGAAGAGAGAAGGAAGGAGTTGAGGAAACACTCATCTTTCACTAAGTGATATGTGAAGATAAGTACAAACTCATTCTCAGCTACAAACCTTTTAAGGTAATTAAATGAATGGAGAGTGGCAACAGAAATCTCTATCACCAGCTTTAGCAGTCAGAAAAGGAAATTCCCTAATTTTGCAATTCTACTACAAAACTTCCTGAAGGTTATGTGTACCAACGCCTTCTAGTTATCTTTCATGGGGCTTGATTATACCCAGGCACATTCATGGTTCGAATCCGCAAATCATCCCAACTCTAATACTTCTGATCTAAGAGTCAGTTCAGGTTAAAATAAGTTGGAGGAGGTCTCAGACCAGTGAAGGCCTTTTAGGTCTTTATTATTTGCTGTTCTCTGCCTGAACTCTCCTCCTTTACCCCCTGCTCCTTGACCTTGTTAAACTCTACTATTCTCCATAAACTGTAAGTTTTGTGACGGCAAGAATAGTGTCTACTTCATCACCAGTGCCCTGGCACATAACATATGCTCAATAAATATTTGTTGAATGAATAAAGGGAAACTAAAATACTTTAAAAAATTATTAAGCCTCAAATAGAGTTCATAAACTCAAGACAAGAGAAAAAGAATGAAGACATGTTTACCTGAGCATTCGGTGTAGTTTATGAGGTGTCATCCCACATCCATCATCAGTAAAGGTCAAACAAGATTTGTTCTTGACCTCCTCGACATCTATAAAGACCGTCCTGGCACATACATCTGGATCTACAGCATTATCTGCAAAAGGTAGAAATCTGTGATATTAGATCCCTTTTTCTAGTACTTCGTCAAATCTCTACATCAGTGCCCCAAGACAAAGAAACTATCCTTTATTCCCCTCATGTGGATGTTCCCAAAGGTGGGCAGGGAGCTTTAATGGTAGTGTGCTTACTAAGTTACAGGGAACGAGAGACATGGCTGCAGATGGGGTTATGAAGCTGATTTCTAGATTTCATATAATGATTGAGCTACAATCTGCCTTTCTCCTTTAACATTTCTGGGTCTGTGGGAAAAACAACTCCTATACACAAAGCATTTTGCTCCATTTCATCTTACTACTTCTTTCTTATCTTTTAGCCACTTTACTGCTCATGAACACGTATAGTAAAGGGTGGCTATGGAGAACAGCTGAGTGTGCAATGTATACAAATAGATGCACGCTCTACACAGTACAGTGCATTTGTGAATGTTTTATTTTCTACTTTTTGACATCACGTCCTCTGTTAAAGAATACAGATATTAACACCATCCCTGTTTACCACCTAAGGAGCACTAAAAGAGAAGTTCAAATTGAAACATTTAATTGCTGGGCTAGATTCCAGTGAGGGTAACAAGCGTGCTTAGAGAAGAGTGATTCTGCTTAAGCACTCTGTAATAGTCTTAAAGGTGAAGCTGACCAACCCTCATCAAATAGAGAACACAGAAGTTAAGCAGAAAAAAAATTATATGGAAAGTTTTGTGATTCCTCCCCAGTTAGGTCTTCATAATGGGCTAATCATTTAAGACTCAGGAGACAGCAGATATAGCCATATTCTAACATATGTACCATGTCTAAAACTGCAGGGGGTATCAATGTCTAGAGGCCACTTCTTTCTATTTTTAAATTTTGTAAAGTTTATTTACTTAGAGAGAGAGCACCCACGCACAGGGGGAGAGGAAGAGAGGGAGGAAGAGAGGGAGGGAGAGAGGGAGAGAGAGAGGGAGGGAG